CTATGGAATTCATAGGTATTCAGTTCCTGTATATGCTGAAAAGTGAAAGTGATTGGTCATTGAGGAGATTTAGCTTAGGGCTGAGAAGTAAGTAGACACCAACATTCATTTCCAATTTCTTTTGCGTTTAAGTGCCTTTCAGCGTTTTAAAGGCTCATTCTTCCTTCCTGTTAAATACTCAAATGTATCAAAGCACGTAGAGATTTTGGATTCGAATTTCACCATCACTCGTAGAAAATATTTACATGTGTTTGGCAAAAGAAAAAGAACTAAGCCCGCATGTGATGAATGTGTTGCAGACCTAAAATAAATTAAATAGAAGTACCCATTTGTAACTGTTTAAACCTTCTTTACTTTGACATTGTATTGATGAAGAAATAGCATTGAAAAAAAGTTGTTATAAAAAAAATGAGTTGTTACTAGAAATGTGATAGGAAGCTCCTGAGTTAATGACCTAAGGTTGAAGAGCGGAGGACTCGAAAACACAAGAAACAGGATTACTGATTTAAGTGGCATGTAATACTTGTGGAGACGACTGTTAGTGTTTGAAACTGAAGGAACTTAGTGTAAACTGCCATGTAGGCTCTATAGTTTGAATTGGTGGATTCCATGTCTTTAAGGATTACATAAAGATGACGCTAGAAATGTTGCAAATATAATCTGGTTATCAGAAATTGTAACAGTTGCCTAAAATAGTATCGGAAATAATTGGAAAGAGGCGACTGCAGGAATTGTAACCGGAAAGAGGCGTGTTGCTTCCAGAACACTCCTCGAATGAGGCATTGGAATTTAACAAAAAGATGGAAGATCGCTGAAAAAATGCATGGTGTTGCTGGAATTTTTGTGGGAAATAAGAGGGCTGCAGTCATAGCAGAAGTTATGTAGGTCTCTTATGAGATTGTAAAGGTTCTGATAATATGTGAAAACAAGAAAATAAATGTATTCGTGATTTGATTAATATGGAATATAGACACACCTACTTATAGTTATACTAATGATAGTCTTGTAATGAGGGACAGTATCTAACATAACCAACTAATCAGCAACACCCAACATCCATATTCATATCCATATCCAATTTTGATGGAACTATGCATAAGACTTATACTTTGTTTCTCTCTATGCAGCACTATGACGGTGATATCAAGGACCTTGCATTGGATTTTACAGTTACTGAAGAATCATTAGGGAAACACCTTGTCATTGAGCTTAAACCTGGTGGCAAGGATATTTCTGTAACAAAAGAGAACATGTTGCAATATGTTCATGCAATGGCAGATTTTAAACTTAATCGGCAGGTCTGGATATTTGTGCTCCAGCATTGAGATTCCCAATTTTCTGGTATTAGTGACTTATTGTTTCCAGCACGCAATTGCAGATACTTCCTTTCTCAAATGCATTTTATAGAGGATTGACGGACCTTATATCGCCTTCCTGGTTAAAGTTGTTTAATGCAAGTGAATTTAATCAGGTAATCACCTCTGTGCATATCTTAGCAGAACTCCATTTTCAGTTTTAGTAGCTTTTTGTACAATTTTCATGCCCTTTTGTTCACCCCTTCCACATATACTATAGCACCGAGTTTTGAACCTTGCGCCACTTTTCTCGATTATCAAAAAAAATATTCAAAGAATTTCATTGTATTCCTCATGCTGTATGAGATTCTACTATCAACTGACCTCTCCTTCTTTCAATACTAGTTTTTGGCTTATCCATTTAACGAGGATTGGTTTGTCATGCTTGTAAATGCCAAATGCATCGGCCACACCTCTGCTATTTTTGTTTTTTCTTTTTCTTTATCTTATCTGGTTCTCTACATTTCTCTAATAATTGAGGAAGTTATGTGACATGACATACAGACAATAGGATGAAAGGCATAAACAAACTACGTTGAATGCATATGCTTTGTTGAAAGCCGCATGTGCCACAAAGGCTTTCCCATACTGGACTGCATGCTTCTGTATCAGCTAATCCAAAGTGTATATCCAGTTGCTTTCAGGAGGAAACCATGATATTGACATTGATGATTTAAGGAAAAACACACGCTATACTGGAGGTTACTCAGAAGGGAGTCGGACTGTTAAACTCTTTTGGGAGGTAGACATGAATTTTCCCTCTCCTCTTTTTTCTTGTTATTTTATGAAACTACAAACGTGATTTCGATCAGTTGAATTTTCCCTCTCCTCTTCTTTCTTGTTATCTTATGAAATGTGATTTCCATCAGTCTACTTGAGCCATCTCAAATGAACATCTCTCAACATTAAGGAACTTGGTCTAAGCAGAGATCTTTTATTATTTTGTATTATCTAACCATATGTATGTGTTTGGTAGTGTTAAAGTGGGAGAATTAGGCATTTGATAACTAATTGTTCTTGTGGTTTAGGTATTTTCAAATTTTGACCCAAGAGAACGGTGTTTGCTGCTTAAGTTTGTGACAAGTTGTTCGCGAGCTCCTTTGCTTGGATTCAAACATCTGCAGCCAACCTTCACTATTCACAAGGTATGAGCCTTCACCCCTCTCTCTCGCCGCCCCCC